CAAACTGCCCACAATCTCTTTCCCAATTCCACCCTCTTTAACCTCCCGGATAACCACGCTATGTTAAAACCGCCGCCGGACACTCAGGGTCGCCGTACCGAACCATGGTCAACGCAGCCGTGCTGAGACTCCAGGAGATGGGCAGGCTGCACGTCCTCAAGCGGAAGTGGTGGAAGGAGAAAAGGGGCGGGGGAACCTGTCAGGTAACGGCCACCAGCTCCATCGTCCAACGACCCTGTTTCACCTTATCACCTCTTCACCTTGGCCATCACCATTCGCTCGAGGCTCTTGGGGGAGGGAGGAGGGGAGGGGAGGGGGTAGCGGTGTGGTTCACAGGAGGTGGATAAAGATGCACAGCGGGCGTCCATTTCTTCATCCGTGGCCACGTTCGGTGCTCTGTGTAGAAGCGAGTGCTTTCCGTTTTGTAGAGCGGTTTTCACTTTTGTGGCCGGCATGCCACGTCTTGCTTGCTTGCATGACGATGATGTGAAGACACGATCTCTCTGTTCGTTGCCTTTTTTCCAGCTTAGACCCTGAGTCCTGTGTCCATATCGGAAGAGGTATGATACACGCACTCTCAGAACTTGTGCATTGCAACTGCTTGGCATCCCTGTAATTACGAACACTCTCTCTTCCCCTTCCCTATTTTACCTCTAGCTCATTATTTCCAGCATCTTTCCTGTTATTTTTTTCCTGCCTGTCTGTAGAGGAACATCATAACTGATCGGTTTTGATCTATCCACAGGCCTCATCACCTGGTAGTATGGGTCTAAATACTCCTTCAGATTTTTTCCCAATAGCTCAATTCCTTATACAGGCTCGCCCTACACGAACACCATCTCGGAGGCAATCCTGAACTTGCAAGAGAGTGGAAATCTCCAAAAGCTTAGGACGCGCTGGTGGAAGCAGAAAAAGGGAGGGGGGAAGTGTGAAGTAAGACGACAATAATGTTTTGGTGTTTTACTATTATCGCTACCAACACCAATAAATTCTCCCACTCTGCTAGAAGCCATTAACAATCCCACAGCTGCCTCACAAAGATTTCACAACCTTTATTTTTTTCTACTTTTGTGGGTTTAGGGTCCTGGCTTTTGGTTAAAGACTAACGACACAAAGACGAGCTTTCATTTGTGGAAAAAATCGAAAATCGAAAAAAAAGATTTTCCCTCGATTTCTACAAATGAATCTAGCAATTACTGGGAGTTAAGAAATAAAGATAAGCTTACCCCTAAACTCACACTAAACTTCCCATAGACTGATAAATACCCCCAAATAGGTGTACATAAATTAATCTAGTTATTAATCGACTGCCTAACGATTATGCTGATCTTGGTGTTCAGAAATAACACATCTCTCGTACCAATTTCTTTTTCTGTCTTAACCTAGTCGTTTATGCGAAGTTATTAAGTAAAGTAGTGCAGTTGTTCTGATAAACACAAGGGGAAATCATCCCTATAGTATGAAACGTATGTGTTTAGATAAGTGATAATAAAAAGAAATAGTCTTGGTGTACATATGATGTATTTTGTATAAATAACAGAAGTATCTGAATATTATTGATTTAGTGGCCGTTTTTTTTTCTCTGTAAATCAGATTGATTCTTTTGTATAATTTTTTTCTGCATGTAAAAACTTTTTGAATTAACGGAATACATAAATATGGTCAATGAAAATGATTCTTGCAGTGAGTCTGGGAATCTAACAGGTGATTGGGTAACCATAATTTTATTTATAAGTAGTTTACTTGGAATACAAAAATAGGCTTTACATATCTGTGTAGAGAGAGAACACGTCTCTTGCCATCAGAAAGTTATTATAAATGTCCTTTGTAGACTCTATATTGATTTCTTAAATTATCTCTAGAAATCTGTGGCCATAATGATTATTGCAATAGTATATGTCCATGAGATTGATACACACACACATACATACGCACACACACACACACAAACACACAGATATACATAAACACATATAGACATGCACACACACGCATAGACACACATGCACATACACGGGCACACACACACACACACACACACACACACACACACACACACACACACACACACACACACACACACACACACACACACACACACACACACACACACACACACAAAGTATATGTTAAACAAGAACAATTTACCCCATGGTTTCAAACTGAATTTAATCAAAACCGAAATTAAAATCCTCGGCTCAGCTATAAAAACTAAAAACCTAAAAATCTCACAGTTATGTAAAGCATTACGTAATACTAAAAAAAAAAAAAAAATGCACCGTAGCAATACTAGAATCCCTTCCCCCCCTTGCAAGCAATTCATCAATCCATTTAGATGTTGCACCTGTTATAGGAATTTATTTTTCGTTCTTTTTCGGTAGATATTTTTTCTTTTCATTCTGCTTCATATTGCTCGCTGCTCGGCTCTTCTGTCATGAATTTTTACCTCATTTTAATTTTTTTTTTTACTCCGATAGAAAGAAAAAAAAATCCCAAATACCTGCTTTAAATGCAACTCATTAATCCGCTTCTCGCCTCATAATTCTCACGACTTTCATAATATCTCCTTCTCTTCAGGTTCTTAGACACTAACCTGTTTAGCGTAGTGATAAACCTCAAGTCTTAATCAGGTTGATACTAAGATGAATATAATCATTAATCTCCTTGCCTGTGTTTGTGATTAAAAAAAAAACATCTAATAAATATTGGTTGTACATAATATATGCTGTAAAGAGTAGTGTAGCTTCGAAGGACAAGTGAATTAACATAAATATGTAATTTATAAAGTATTGTTTTGTTATTTCTATAGATGACCTGATCTAGCTTTCATGGTATAATTTTTAAGTGTTTGAAATCTTCATTTGTAAATATACTATGCTTATTAAACACACATGTTAACCCACACACACACATATACATAGACAATATTCTTGCCTCTGTCTCTTTTCCTTCCTTCTCTGTCTCTGTCTGTCTGTCTCTCTCTGTCTATCTCTAACCATTTCATTCTCTCCCTACCTTCCTCCCCTCCCCCTCTCTCTCTACCTCTATCATTATCCTTTATCCTCATTCTCTAATTACCACATTCCCTCTTTCTTAGTCTATCTGTTTATTCATCTCATTTTCTCAATACCTCCTCTCTCTCTCTCTTGCTCTGTTTCTCTCTATCTATCTATCCCTCTCATTCTCTCACTACGTTTCCACCGCCCCACCCCCTTCTCTCTCTCTCTTCCTCCTTCTCTCTCTCTCTTCCTCCTTCCCACCATCTCTCTCTCCTTTTTGCTCTGAGTCTCTCTCTATCTATCATCATATTCTCTCACATCTCCACCGCCCCCATTTCTCTCTCTCTCTCTCTCTCCTTCTCTCCCTCTTGCTCTTCTCTCTCTCTCTCTCTCTTCTCTCACTCTCTCTCTCTCCTTCTCTCGCCTCTCTCTTCTCTCTCTCTCTCTCTCTTCTCTCCCTCTTGCTCTGTCTCTCTCTCTCTCTCTCCTTCTCTCCCTCTTGCTCTGTCTCTCTCTCTCTCTCCTTCTCTCCCTCTTGCTCTGTCTCTCTCTCTCTCATCTCTCTCTCTCATCTCATTCTCTCACTACCCCCCCCCCCCGCCCCCCTCTCTTCGGCCTTTCTCTCTCACACGTACATTACCCAAAGACCCTTAGCCGTTCCTTTTCAGCAGCCCCCTTTAACCAGAACAGCTGCTAACGACCCGTACGACCTCTCTCCCGCCCCCCCCCCTCCAGGATGACGAGTCGAAGAGTTCATCAAAGGCCAATGAACTCGGGCTGAACAACGTCGGCGGAGTGTTCGTCGTTCTGCTGGCCGGCATGGGACTGGCTTCGGTCGTGGCGGTGTGTGAATTTGTTTGGAAATCAAGAAAGTTGGCAACCGAGGAACACGTGAGTTGCTAAGTAGAATTAGCTCTTTTTTTAATTCCTCTTTTTTTCCCTTAGACTCTATTTTTCTTTTTTTTATTTTGCTTTTTTTAAAATCTTTTTTGTGCCGTGGGATATATTTTTGATTTTCCGCGGTTACGTCTGTCTCTCACCATTTTTTTTTACTTTTTCCCCCCATCTCTTCGTCTTTTTCGTCTTTTTTGTCTGTTTCTTCGTCGAAGCTGAGACTCGAAGTGGGAAAGATGAATGTATTTGGACGATGACGTCAAAAGACTTTACTTTATGAATGATGAATTGTGTCTGAAACTCGGGAGTGACGTCACGGATGGGTCTTTGTCTTTTTTCTTTTCTTGTCTTGTGCTGACGCTTTGGACCCAGACGGTACTATAACAAAATTTACAACTCACCAAAAGCGAGAGCAATTAAATCAATTAAAAGAATCAAATGAAAAATAGTTCCTTACTAATTGGGATATTACTAACATACTAACCCACGCAGACACAGTCACAGACACGCTCGCAGATATATATATATATATATATACATATATACTATATATATATATAGTATATATATATATATATATATATATATATATATATATATATATATATATATATACAAAAGACTACAGGCACATTAAACACAGAAGCAGGCACAGTACCATACAGACACACACATGCACGCATATGCAGAGCACACACAGCACATATGCACACACACACACACGCATATGCAGACAGCAACACACACACACACACACACATGCACACACACAGCATATGCAGGCACACATCACGCATATGCAGACACACACACACAACACATGCACGCAGCAGACACTCAAACACACACACACACAAACACACACATTATGCATGCACGCATATGCAGAGCACCCAACGTGATCCGTGCAAAAGCAGCGTCCACATCCACCGCGAGCGCGCGCACGCCTCCTCCGCACGTGGCCCAGACGGGATCGAAAAGCCGAGCCCAGCGCCTTCCTCCTCCTCCTCCTCCTCCTCCTTGGCCGCAGAAGGACACTCCAGCCTGGAGGACTGGGGATTACAGCCCAAAGTGTAGATGATTGGGGCTTACGAGGGGCTTCCGGCGAGGGCTCAGTCAGGCTGCCCGTTTGCCTCGGTAGACGGGACGCGAACGAGGGCGCCGAGGATGAAATAAGACGGGGCTGTTTTCACACTCTTTTCTGACGAGGAAGCTCTCACCTCCTCGTGTTATTGTTTTCTTTATCACATGACGCTCTGCACGAGGATATGCTGTACATATATGCCTCTAGCTTGGCCCAAAATCCCAAAATGGTATTGTTTTGTTCATTTTAATAACAAAAAAAAGAGAAAAAGAGAGAATCTGTGAGACTGACACATAACATTTGTTCCACAATAGTGACCAGCATGTAGCCTGCAGTACCTGTGTTCACCCTGCCGTTACTCCCTTTAGTGCGTTGTAAAGTCACCATGTTTGTAGTTCCATGAGCATACTTTTTTGAGAGAGTCCCGTAGTCCATGAGCTGATTCCGCCCTGAATATAAAATGACCAAATACATTCATGAGCGACTCCAGAGTTCCTCCCTCTCCACACGCACCACCACGTAGGCCTCCCTTTGGACATGATCATTAGCTCGACGCACCCACGAGCACTTACGTATTTACTATCCCCAGGCTTCCGTTTGGACAGAGATGAGTAAGGAACTCAAGTTCGCCCTCTCCTGCGACGCGTCCTCCAAGCCGGTAAGGAAGAAGCCGCAGGACCAAGAGAACAACGGGCCATCCTATCTCTCCGTGAACACCTACGGCTCCACCTACACCACCTCACAGTACTCCTTCTCGTCCAAGGACCCGCTCTCCTGACAACTGCCGGTGAGCGCCAGTGCTGCCTTGGGGAAGGGTAGGCCGAAGGAGCTCGTCTTTAGAGCCTTCGGGTTGTCTGCTCGGCGGGATGTGTTCCTGGGCTGAGCCGGAAGTGTGTTTAGGGGTTTAGTTTGATGATGAGGCCGATTATTCTCGTGCAGCTTACGGGTATAGAGGGCATGGTATATATGTGTGTTCTTTTATGTGAAGTTTCTCTCTCTCTCTCTTTTGTCTCTCTCTCTCTCTCTCTCTCTCACTTTCTCTCTCTCTCTCGCTCATTCACTTTCTCTCTCCCTCTCCTTTCTCTCTCTCTTCTCCCCTCCTTGTCGTCTCTTCTTGTCTCACTCAATCTCTCTCTCTCTCAGTTTCCTTCTCTCTCTCTCTCACTCACTCACTCTCCTTCTCTCTTTCTCTCTTCTCTCTCTTCTCTCTCTCTCTTCTCTCTCTCTCTCTCTCTCTCGTCTCTCTCTTCTCTCTCTCTCTCTCTCTCTCTCTCTCTCTCTCTCTCTCTCGTCTGCTCTCTCTCTCCCTCTCCCTCTGCCTCTCCTCTCTCTCTCCTCCCTCTCCTCTCTCTCTCTCTCTCGTAAGGTGCTGGTCTAGCAATCTTGCGGACCTGCGTTCAATCCCACGCCCGGCCAGTGAGTGGTATCCCCGGCCATTCCTTGCACACAGGGGGAGATTTGGGCAAAATAAAACAGTCAGTATGTCACAGCAAAGAATATCCATTCTAACAAATGGAATTAAAACTAAATCTTAAAAAAAAATCACTCGTTTCTCTCTCTCTTTCTCTTCCTCTTCTTTCCTCTCTCTCACTGTCTCTGTCTGTCTGTTTCTCTCTCTCTCACGCACTCACTTTCTCAGTCTCTCACTTCTTCACTCTTCTCCTCCTCTTCTGCTTCTCTCACTCTCTATTTTTATCTTTCTCTCTCACTCACTCACACTCTCTCCCCTCTTTCTATCCTCGTCTCTCTTTCTCTCTCTCTCTCTCTTCATGTAACCGCGCTATATGTCTGAACTCCTGCCAGAATAAGCTCTGACGCGCCGCCCTCCCTTTCTCCCGCAGGACCTTCCATCACACGCCTCCCGCGAGAAGCTGGGGCCTGACGACATCCCGACGCCCCCCCTGGCTGCCATCAGGGGGGCGCAGTCCCTGGACCGCATTTCCCGTCGGTCCGCGCCCCCAGCGACCCCGGAGGCGGCAGCAGAGGAACAGCAGGAAGGCAACCTGCAGTCTCCGGACTTGCCCTTCCAGCTGATTTCCACCGTATGACGCTAGGGGAGCCTGGGTCACCGCCGGTCGCGTCACACAGCGATCACGCACATCGCTCGATCACAACTCTGATTTCTTGACGGAGCTTCGTTCGTTTTTTTTTTTTTTCGTTCATTCGTTTTTATGTTTTGGTTTCGTTTCGTTCTGCGAGGCTCGAGAGACGGATTCCAAAGAGCTTCGCCAAAATTGTCTCCTAACTACGGCGCAATTAAAAAAAAAAAATGATTTGGTTGAGGTCGATAAATTACGTTTTTTGCTTTTAATTTTTTTTTCTTTAACTTTTCCGTGTACATAAAGCGTTGATTTTCCTTACCCTTAGTAGTCGAGTGTCCAAATTCACATAAGGTGCGGTATTTAGCTTCACATGATAGTTTGACATTGCTTTTAGTGATATTCCTCTATAAACGAAAAGAAAAACTATAATCTTTGCTATATATCTTGTTATTAACTTTAATCATAACCAGAGTTGCTAACCATATGAATATATCCGTAAATAGCAGATATCTAGCTGACCAGCGGTGACCTAGGCAATCTAGCATAAAGTTGTGTGACTGTCTTGTCGTTCCCTGAATTATCGAAATCCTGCGTGACAAATCATTGACACTTTGTGACTGTATGAATTCGAGTACTGTGTGAAGGGACCTCTTCTTCTGATGAATGTACTGTGCAAGTCAGTCGGCACGTCAGGCTCCGGAGGCGCTCGTGTTGCAGAGAAGCCGTTACTCGTTGCACACCACTGGTGACAATGCCGAAATCTCTTCATATTGTGTCGGTGGAGTCTTTGTCTGTGTTCATTGTGATAAAAAAAAGCAAAAACATTCAGCGAGAAGAAACTCGAGGAGACAAGGAAAAGGATTACTGCCTGTTAAACGAAGGGTGCTGTTACAGTAACAGTCAACGTGTAAAATACATGGGAATGAACATGCTCTTCTGAAATAGTTGTTTTGTTGATATGACTTTCTGTAATAAAAAAACAAAAACAATTTTCACTGAAAACACCTGAAATTACCTTTTGTACTGAAATGAAAAAAATACGTGTAAATATGTGAAAAAAGTCTGTGTTTTAGGTGCTCTTAATGATTTACTGGGATAGTGAATACTGTTGTATCTTTATTGTTTGGAAATCATTTTACATTTTATTCCCTAGTTTTCACAAATTGTTCTTTTAAATCATTGTGGCGAAAAGAGACAAAGAAGCAAATGAAGCAGAGTAGAAGAAGCTCCATTATGGGAAGGTTTTATATGAATGAAATATGAGAAAAAAGAAAAATTAACTTCCGGTGTCACCAGCACACTATCAGGGACCAAGCATATTCATTCAGAAAGAGTGAGAGAGAAATTCACATACATAAAAAAAAAAAAAAAAAAAAAAAATATGATATGAAAGAAGATAGGATTTTACAAAATATCTAAAAAAAATACATGAGCTGAAACAGGAGAGGGGAAACTGAACCAAGATCCAGTCTGAGATTGAAACATTAAACGTCTCAAGATTTTATATAATGAGACGTGTTTTTTTCTGTGTTCTTTGTTTACCTATTGTTTTGGGCATTAGACCTTCATAAGTTAATATTAAGAGATATATTTTTACTAACAGATCTTGATAGATATAGGCTAAGAATCCATATATAAAGAGGAAAATTGTTCCACTCAAACTCTGGACAAATTATGGTCATTATTATTATGGATTACTATTATTATTATTATTGATACTATTATTATTGGTATTATGATTATCATTAATATCGTTTATTATATTACATTAATGATGATAATGACAAGTATTGTCATTATCATTATTTTTTATATTATTATTATCATGAATATCAATATTACAGTATGATTTATGAGGGCCACATGTAGCAATAATCGTTTTTTTCTTATGTCATCTCATTATTTTACTTTCTTTATTTGCAATATTTTTCCAAGAATTATTTTTCATATGGTTGCTGCTACTACTACTACTACTACTTTGTTGTTCTCATTACTATTATTATTGTTCTTATTATGATTATGATTATTATTATCATTATTATCATCATTATCATTAGTCTCATCGTTATTATCGTATCGCATTTTCGGCAAGGACCAGAGTTTCATTGGCACATATATCATGGAACATCTCATCGTTTATAAAGACATAGAAGAATGCTTGTTTCTGCTTCGCTAACTTTATATCACGCATCGCAACAAACCGAATAACTTCCTTTTTGGTTATCACGCTTCAATGTTGCTTGTCTTTGATTTTGGCAGTGTCAATTGTTTTGATAAGACGTCATGCAATCAGTGTTTCGCGAAAGGCGAACTTGCTAGAGTCGGCGACAAGTAATATGTTCAATTTAGCATGTTACATTTAGATTTGATTTTTATTTTTATCTACTACGTCACTTTACGCGTCAGTCATTTGTTTTGCGCACACATGCAATGTTTCGCGGGTAGTGAAAGGTACTTTACTTTCGAGAATTGTACTAAAAAAGGTATATATTTTTTGAAACAGGGCACAGTCAGTGTTTTTTTTACTTACTTTTTTCTTTTTTTTTTTTCTTAACACGAACTACAGACGTTAAATTTTGTTATAGTTATTGGCAATACAAGAAGAGAAGAAAGAGAAAATAGTGGAAGGCAACACAAGAAAACAATATTTTGAAAGAGAGAAATAAAGAGAAAAAAGAACAGTATACACCAGAATCCTTGCTAGACATACCTTTACGTGGTAGAAGGCTGACGAAATTTCCGTTTCTTTGTCATCCTGTGTGCGTATTATTTCCTTTGTTTATGTCATTTGTGTTATATTGAATGTCATGTCATGTGCTGTTGTTTACTTGTTGAATGAGGTTCTGTGACTAGGAGATGGTAAGTTGTAAACACATCTCTGGGGTCGATTCAATATATGATTTTTATTAACCTCTGTAATATGATGCTATGTACTCTCTCATTTGTATACGAAATGTTTCAAAATAAACAGATTTAAATGAGGCTTTTTCAATACTCTGCGTACCTTGTTATCCCTCTGTTAGCGAATGATCAAAGAAACATTTGATTTTTCAGATATTAGACTGGCTGTTGATCTGTGATAAAAGATTTGTCTCTGCCCCCCCCCCAAAAAAAAAATGCAATTGTGAAGAAAAAAGTTATAACGATGAAAAAGGACCGTTAAGTATCAATATAAAAAATGCCAAAATATATTTAGTTGTACTAATAATTATATCAATGGTGTATTCAAGAAATGCTTATGCAAATAATGATAAAATAATAGTGATATGGTCATCATGATAATGAGGATTTGGAAAAAAGTGAATACTAAAAGAATGATAATGATGATAAAATATTAATGATAATAATGATAACAATGATAATGACAAATACAGCAATAAAGGTATTATAATTATAATAACAATATAATAAAGAATAATATTGACCATAATAGTAACAATAACAACAATAATAATGATAGTGATGATAAAAATAGCAATGATAACAGTAATAATAATAACAATAATAAAGACTATTATCATATTTGTTTTGATGATGATAATAATAATAACATTAACAATGATAATCATAGCAATAATAAAGATAACTGCAATGATAATCAAAATAATGATATTACAACAACAAAAAATAATAGCAATTATAATGAAATGATAATAATAACAATAATAATAAGGATAATAATGATTAAAATAGCAGTAACAGTAATAATAATAATAATAATAATAATAAATATAATAATAATATAATTAATATAATAATAATGAAAATATGAAAATAAATAATGAATAATAATAATGATGACTAAAACAATGATAATAATAATAATAATAATGGTGGTAATTATAGTAATAATGATAACAGCAACAATAATCAGAATAAGAATAATAAAAGATAATAATGATAATAATTAAATATAATGGTATAAATGATAGGGATAATAATCATGAAAAAATAATGATGATAATAGAATAAAAGTGATAAGTAATTAACGCATCAAAATGATAAAAATTAAATATATATACATACCTAATCAATAATAGCTATGATGATCCACTAATGATGATGATATGATGAAGGATATTAAATAAAAGTAATATAAAATAAATACACTAAATAAATTATTCGATATTATAAAATATTTTAAAAATTTTTGATAATCAAAAAATAAGATATAATAAATAAATAATGCCCAAATTATTAGAATAAACAATTGTTGAGAGAGAAATAATTAAAGAAGTTAATATTATAGTAAATTAAAATATGCTAATAAGAGTCTGAGTATATATTTAGATATATTTATGAATAAACTAACCTCATATGAATAATTTTTCAGAGTCAATAGCATTCCAACAACAAAATTAATGAATAAAATCCACTAAGATTGAATAATATAAAATGATACTATGATACCATGTATGCAATGATTGATGATGATAATAATATATGATATAAAATTGAATCACTAAACCACTATACATACTACACTCCACATTCAAATACATAATCACAATAAAATTATTTATTTTACTCCCCCCATATACACCCATACAATTATGGAGGGGATATTAACCTCCCCCACAACTCATCACAATGATACATAATTTCCAAGAATAAAATAAAACCATTGATTAATCCGTAATGCCTCAATCAAAAATATAGATTCAAGCATATAATAATTAAGACGCTGCATTTTTATTACTAAAAAAAACAATTATTAATAAACGATTAATAGAAATAACCAAAATTTGAATTATAATAGACAAATAAGTAAGGTAATCACAATAAAATTAACCGGTCATGGATTCGATTAATAAGATAAATACATCAACAATCAGATCAACAAAATGAAGTCCTCAATAAATCCGATCTAATTTAGATTATAAATAATAATGGTTGACCGATCCATTGAATTACAATAACAAATACCTAAATACACTAATGCTAATATTACACTAAATAATAATTTAATACATATAATAATCATATATTGAATAAAATAATAAGATAATACCAGTACTGAGGTTATATCAATAACCAACAATTGAGCGCATTGATATAATAATATACTAATAATAATAATAATAATAATACAAACAATAATATAATAACAATAATGATTATAATTGGTAGTAGTAAAACAACACATAATGATAATATAATAATATCAATGGGTATAACAACATCGCAATACATTTCCCCGATGAGATTAAGATTGACGTAGAAAAACACTGAATCGTTGACTACAATTATGATCAATCTGAAAATATTAAATAAGAATGATGATAATAATTAATAATGGTGATGCTGATAATAGAACAATAATCATAATAAATATTGACGATGATGGATAATAATAATAATAAATCCAATAATATAAAAATAAAATGCTAAAGATAATATAAATAAATGATAATAAATAATAATGATCAAATAATGATAATAACAAATAATGAACAGTGATGATGATGATGATATAATAATAGTAATAAAATAAAAAGTATCAATCACTAAACAGTATCATGAAGTAATAAAAGATATAAATAATAATTAAGCAAATATAGATAAAATAATGATGATAATGAATAAATAATAATAGCAAATACCACTCCACAGGAACTGCATTATGATAGTACTAAATTATACCATTGTTGTATTCAACTGAACGACTAATAAATAATTGAATAGAAATTTAATAAGCTAAGTAGAATACAACCGGCAAGACAATATCGTGAGATAATACTAATAATATTTATTATGATGGTGAATGGTGATATGATGATAAAACGGATAATAATAACAATAGTAATAACATCATTATTCATCATCATCATCATCAATAATAATCATCATAATCCATCATTATAAATCACAATCGATAATCCAATACTAGAACAAAATGCACTAATAACGGAGAACAACTAAAACAAACACACTATATAAGAATTACTCTGGCTACACAAAAACCACACCAGTTCTCGAAAAAAAGAATAGAAAAGAGAGAAGACTTACACATAGCGAAAAACGAAGAGGCAGAACAGAGACGATAAAAGTGGAAAGACAGGTAATCCCAGAGAAGACAACGATAACATGAAAAAGAGAGTTCAACACACATAAAGAAACGAATAGCATCACCGGGCACAAATTAATAAAGCGAAGAACTCCAAAGCAGACGCGCCAAGAGGGTGGGGAGGGAGTCCCCCGAGAACCGCATGAATGCTCTTCCACAATCGCCCGACAGTCGGCCGCACCAGGCATACGACACTGTTACGGGGAAGCAAACAGATGAGGATAAAATGAATGGGGGAAAGCAACAGATGAAGGCTAAAATGATGGGGAAGGCAACAGATGAGGATATAAATGAAATGTTGGGGGAAGCAACAGATGAGGATAAAATGAATGGGGGAAGCAACAGATGAGGATAAAATGAATGGGAGAAGCAACAGTACTAGCCGATAAATCATCGAATGCGGACAGTCAACTACCGCATGAGGATATCCTTACACATGTTTCCACATTCTCGCGCGGCTCCGACCCCTAGCCACATTTATGATGGTTATAGCCATTAACTACCAATCGCCGGGCGCCAACCTCGCACACATGATGACGCGCATTATATTACTATTGCTCACCTTCATCGGTCGACAGCAACCAGATCGATGTGATACCCACACTGACATTGTGGTGTGTTAGCCACATCTACGCACTTTATTCAGACACAAATGAAATCGTTATGCTGCGGCCACAGCCAATTACCAGATGAAGGACTCAGACCACCATGACATGGGGATACGCACATACTCCGAGGAAATTATAATGAATCGGGGGAACGCAAAGACTCGTATGCGCATAACCCCTGCAATGCGCGAGGACCACCCGCTCTAATCAGATCGAGCCGATAACAATCAATGGCGGGAAGCACACACCCGATCAGGACTAAAATGCAATGGCCATGCCCCGACAAGCAACCAGATGAGGATAAACCATCGCACATCGTGTCACAGCAACAGTATCGAGACTACACATCCACTCGCAATCCGTCGCGCCGCGTCCCCTCAATCCCCAAGCACACAGAATGAGCAAACCCAATCCCAAATGCCAACATGGGATGAAGCACAACACATATGCATAACGAGATAAAATATTATAAATGGCATGGACAGTCTAACATATGAGGATAAAAATCGACATGATTCCCGCGTTTCCGACCGAGCGCAACAGCAAGTACCGACTACCAATTGTATGAATGGTGGTGAAAAAAACAATAAGATAAAATAGAAATGATTTGAGAGAGGAGATATTCTAATCAGTTAATAGAGGATAACTGAATGGGAGCCGCACACTACAGCATGGACGGATAGAAAATGCAAACTGCCTTCGCGAAGGGAGTACATGTTCACACCGAAATGAGGGATATGGGGCACACATCCCATTATTGGGTGAAGTTCAACCAGCACTGCGAGCGCACTAAAGTGATTATGCGGGCGCGACAGCACCACGATGAGGCGAGTAGAGAATGCAATGTCTGGGTTGGAGAGGCATAGGCGAGAAGTGAGAGTAAAAGAATGGAGGGGAAAGCGTAGCAGATGAGAAGATGAGGGAAATGAATAGTAAAAAGAGGGGAAGGAGCGAGAGGAGAGGGAGCAGAGGTAGAAACGAGAGGTGGAAAAAGGAGAGAGGAGACAACAGAGGGAGGGGGATGGAGGAGGAAGGTTATTATGTTGTGTATACGGGCGAGAGCGAGACTTCGAGCGACCACGAAAGGATGTTAGAAGAGGGATCCAGCCCCCCGAGAACAAAGATGAATCTTAATCACCAATGAAGGGGGAAGCAAGACATACAAGAATGAAGTATTATAATATATGAATGTTGTGGTTGATGAGCACATACTAGTTAGAAGCACATGGACAAATGCATATGAGAAGAGAAAAGCAATCGAACTTGAGGTATATCAAGAGGAACCCCGCCTTTTGGTTTAAGCAAC